ATATATATATATATATATATATGTCACTCAATGTATTATATATCACTGTATCGAAACAAGTGCCGCTTTGACGTACTTACGAATGTTAATTAAATTAAATCACCTTTCGTTAGTGGATCATTCATCACTTACGTCGGGATTTTCGCAAGTGACTACAGCGATAAGATGTATAAAATATAAATCATGAGAAAATTAACTCATATTTTTCTCTATTTAAAAGACTATAATATAATGGTTTAATTTGTTTCCTTTATATTTGCAATTGTATCTTTGTATTTGTCGAAAATGTTTCCAAGTGCAGATCTAGGTACCATTATGCAAATACTTTTACTTTATATATACATGCACAAAAATATAATAACAGTCTTGTATGATTATAGTCGTTCAGAGATTGAGGCAAAATCCGCACTTATAAAACTGCAACTTTCAACAAATAATATGAAACTATATACATATATATCGATTATATATCGATCGAGGACTGATATGATTCATTAATTCAACGGTTTACTTTGTGGATAACAACTCGACGCAGCAGATTCTGTCGTGCGTTCATCTGTAAACTTTTTTCTTCAATTATTTCCTAGTAGGAAAATTTTTACGGGAAACTACATTACAGATTGAGATATTAAGATCATCTTTAGAAATTCTTAGTTTCTTTGTAGATATTCGTAATGGGACATAGGCCGGTATTCATAGTTGAGTCTTATTTCAAGACCGTCTTAAGTAATGTCTTAAGACTATAATGCAGCCTTCTGATTGGTTCGCGACTTCTTAAGACCGTATTTAAGACGGTCTTGAATATAAGATCTGACTATGAATACCGGCCATAGAGTGGCATTGTCTGTTTCGTGATACTATAGAGTCCCTATACAAGGACTCTATCACATAGAGTTTTTGTGGAAAAAATGTTTCTTAAACATTCGTGATACAACGTCAGAAGACGTATATGGAAAGAACGGAGAATTTCTTGATTTTTCAAATACTCTACTTACTCCTCACTATGAATATCTACGAAAAACTAAGAATTTCCAAGATCTTATATTATGTAGTTTTCTGTACTGTTTATCATGTACTTTTTCATAAAAATCTTCTCATCAAGCTTACGAGAAATCGATTGCCATAAATTTCAAATAATGAAAATTTCCATTAAATGGAATAGACAAAATGAAACGTGAAAAGATACACACTGACTGACAACGTGAACTTTCGTTTACACTTGTATCGTTTCTAAATTACAATAAATTAATATATATATTATGTTTGATATTCTCTTGCTTTCTGCTTAGTGTATGCAATATCCTCCTCCCTCACTGACGGTTGTAATCCACATGCTATTTCTTCCTCCCTGATAAATGCAAGCTTCTCTGCCTTTTCTATATAAAAATCCTTTTGTAACTTTTTCAATTCTTTTTTGTAAATATCCAATTTTTCTTGCACAAGTTCATTACAATGTTTTTGCGTTAAACGTCTTAAAGAATCCTTTCTGGTAATCTGATGCGGTAACCTATTAAATGTTTTGTAGAAAGTAAGATCAGATTTATAAAATTTCAGCAAAATATAAAATAAATGTATATTGATATATTTGGTAAAGCACTCACTCAGGTACTGGTTTGTAAACAAGATTAAGTTTCTCCAAGATCCATTCGAAACGTCTATAATCCCATTGCCGTAAATATTTAAGCATTTTCCTTCGTTTTGCAATTGTTTCTAGCAATTGAACTTTCATTTTCGTGTTCTTGGGATATTCCGTTAAATATTCTTGCAACTGATGTATGTCATTAGTCATAATGGCAACTGAAAAGTAAAAACATGATAATGTTAGCCTATTATTCTATCGTATAATCTATTTTGTTTATAGTAGAGCTATACTTGCTTGTAGCTTCTGGTGAATTTCGATCTAATCTGTGCCTTTGAACCAATTCCAAGATTTTGTCTCTTCTAATATTAATCGTTTCTTTGCGAGGTAGAAATTGTAACGTAAACATCTTTTTAACAATATCACTGGCACTGACAAAAAGTATTACATATAAATAGCATGTTTAAGAATTTAATTATAAAATAAAATATTTATTTATGGTAATCATTAATTAATTGACTCGGTTGAATAAATCCAAAATGTGTTTAGTGCCTACTCGAGTCTATACACCAGATGTACCAGGTATGTAAATATGAAACCGGAATTTTTTAATAGAAAATACACATTTATTGCATGAAAATAATAAAAAATATTTTATTCGAAG